CAGCGTACTTGAGGGACCACCCCGTGTCCTGTACTATCTGGTCCCGCCATCTTTTAGGGGGTCTACCTCTAGGTCTGGGGTTTGTAAAATACTGATGGTAGGCCCCATATACCAAAGAGTCTGGGGGTCTCCTCTGAACGTGACCAAACCACCTCAGCCTTTTTTTACGAATGTCGTCAATTATGGTATTTTTGGTATTAAGTATAGTCAAGGCTAAAACTGACTTACAAAAGAAGGGCCTGCACCTTTGACCTCGCGCATGCGCAGTTGGAACCCTTGACATGCTTAATATTGATCTTATCAGGTTGATACAATCATTATATTCACACGGATATATTTGTGCTGCCAATTTACGCGAAGTAAGGAAACTACTTAAATGTGCGAAAACACGTGTTCAATGTTGATATAATAGTTTCATTTTATTTTAAAAAACACCACCACAAAAGCTGTTATTATGTGCACGTGTCAAAACGTGATATAAGTATGAATTGCTAGTATCTGTATCTGTATAGCCGGTATAACCGCCTTTCGGCGTAACACACCAGCTTCGCAGGCACGCGGCGCGGCGGCAGCTGGCTATATTACACCGATCGACTTGTTACACCTAACCCTTGAACTTCTAGCTCTAGACATTGTTTAAAGCTATCTATTGACAGTGCCCCTACTGTACTTGGTGACAGTGAGTTCCACTCTGCGATAGTTCTAGGAAAGAATGAATTCTTGAACACCTCAATCCTTGGTTGATAACTCTGGTACTTGAATGCGTGGCTATTTCTTGTTCTCTTCTGGGCTAGTATTAGGTACTTAGTAGTTGGGACATCCACCAGTTTATTAGTCATTTTGTACATAATGCATAGTCTAGACATCTTTCTTCTGTCTTCAAGTGAGGTCCACTGTAGTATGCACTTATAAGCTGTCTTGTTAAATAACGTATCCTGCTATGTTGCCAAAACAGCATCTTTGAATCAGAAAGGTTAAAATGTCTCAAACATCCGGCTTAATTTATCGATCAAAGTGTTAAATGTTGATATAATAATTATATTTTATTTGACGTAATATATAACACCACCACAAAAATTGTTACTGTGTGCACGTGGCACAAATACGGCATTTTAGTCTATATGATGACGTCTTAAACGTGTATTTCAAGAGTTTCAGTATCTGTATTTCCGTATCTGTATAACCGGTATAACTACCCTTCGGCGTAACATGCCAGCTAAGTTACGGGAAGTATAAGGGTCGGTTATAAAGTTATATAGTATTGTTATAATGTATTAATTCCTAGCAATTAGCATTAGAATATAGCGTTCCAGTATACAATAATCATGTTTTGCATACTGCATGTCCTCTTGTGCATTTAGCCCATCTGGCAAGAACATGTACTAAAGATTAATCATCATATAACATTACACCTAAATACGAAAGATAAAATGAGGTATACATCGTGAAAACAAAATACAATATGACAATTCCCGTAATAATAATCAATCAGCACAGATATCGTCATACAAATTGTAAAAAGTCAGCAAAGTTTTTAAAGTTTTTAAACTTATATAGATGTTTTATATACAGTCGGGCGATAGAAAGAGATGAATGGTGCCGTGGCCGGTTGCTTCATTCTTTTCTTTCTCTCTTCTTTTTTTCTCCCCTTAGGCCTTATGGCCTTATTTGGCCACAGCAAGGAAATTTTATGGATGACATCCTCCACAGACTCAAAATCGAATGCGAGCGGGCAAAAAAAACAAGGCGGGCCGAAAAAAACAAGGTTCCTACATTTTAAAATTTTGACTCAATAATCGTATAGATTCTTTTGATTCAGTAGGAACATCACATATACACAGCCACTATCACATATCACTGCATCAAAGTAAGAAAAAAACATTAAATCAGAGCCTTTTTTTGCCTCCTCTCTTCATAGCTATCTGCCATCCACCTTCCGGCATGGCAGCAGACATCTTTGCCCATTTCCGGCTTGATGACCACTGTCAGAAGGGAACAAAATGTCTCGTTTTTTTTCTCTCCAAAATCAGGCGAAAATTAATGCGCGCTGATGTCATCCATAAAATTACTTGCTGTGGCCTAAACGACAATTAATGGTTAATCAACCCAACTATACATATTGTAAATTCAGCAAAGTGTTTGCATACTGTTACTGCATGCAGGCTCAAATTTATCGATTAAGCGATAACATCGATGTAAACGTCTTCCTCTGCGGATGACGATCTTGCCATTGCTTCTTCCAGGCCGTCGTCGTTGACTCTCGTGTAGATGTTTTCGTTGGCGCTGTCCGCCGTGTAGACGGGGTTGTTAAAGGAGCTCGAGGAGAATCTTCGGTTCCCAGGTGGTTCCCCGGCTGCAAACAGGTACATCTATTACAACTTTGCCACAAGGACAGGACAGGGGGAACAGGCGGTGGCTTTTCAAGGCCCCCTGTCCAGATAAAAACATACAGAAATCTAAAATACAACTGATAACAAATACAAATCACACATCACAAGAGACTAAAATGTAACGTTTGCATACATATGTTTTAACTTCACCTGGTCTAGTTCCAACAAACTACTGCTCTGTTTATTCTTTACTCAAAGCCAAATATATTTCATGTGTATGGTGAGCATGCAAGCTCTCCAGGGCACAGCCCACTAATTCCAGCCCCTATTGGAATATATAGAAAACATCTAAGAACTGAGCTGTCAACAATCACCTACTTGAGTGTTCAACTATTGCAAACACACACTGACAGGGTAGTCCAACTTCCAAATTGTCCATTTTAGTCCAAAAAATTTAACTTTTTGACCAGCGGTACTAGCACGGCAAATCCAAACACTGGCAGCATGACCTCTGACCCCCATGAAGACCACCAAAAGACAAGAAGATGGGATTANGATAACAAATACAAATCACACATCACAAGAGACTAAAATGTAACGTTTGCATACATATGTTTTAACTTCACCTGGTCTAGTTCCAACAAACTACTGCTCTGTTTATTCTTTACTCAAAGCCAAATATATTTCATGTGTATGGTGAGCATGCAAGCTCTCCAGGGCACAGCCCACTAATTCCAGCCCCTATTGGAATATATAGAAAACATCTAAGAACTGAGCTGTCAACAATCACCTACTTGAGTGTTCAACTATTGCAAACACACACTGACAGGGTAGTCCAACTTCCAAATTGTCCATTTAGTCCAAAAATTTAACTTTTTGACCAGCGGTACTAGCACGGCAAATCCAAACACTGGCAGCATGACCTCTGACCCCCATGAAGACCACCAAAAGACAAGAAGATGGGATTAGTTTTAGAACTCTACCAAGCAGCCAAAACAACACTAACGGCCAGTTTTTTTCAAGTTAGTAGAAATAGAAATAACTCCCCAGCTGGAAAATGCCAGCATTTATCCACACATACCAAGAACAAGGCTGTTTTCAGTTGGTTTGGATGCGGGTCTCACACTGGGCCCTCTGGGCATGCGCCAATTGGTGACCTTTGCCCTCCAACTCTGCCCTGCGACAAAATGTAACCCAGCACTACAGGGCGTTTCTACAGTGCTAGTTACCATGGTGACAGACGTCTGACTCAAGTCATTGACTATCTTCGTTTTGGAGAAGAAGAAGAGGAAGAAAATGAGCAAAAACAATTCGTTTTTTTTCTGCGAAGGTAAACATAATCAGAGATTTCAAACTCCGGGCACGTGGATATAGCGTTCATGTATTATACCAAAGTGTCCAGAAGAAACTGAAAGTTTTGCTGCAATACCACAGAGAACCGCTAGGAGGACCCAAATATAATGAATACGAACAGACAAACCTGCCGAGTTGAGGACGTCCCCAGCTTGGCCCAAATCCAGGTATGAGCTGGTGATTCCATCAGCCCCTGGCTCCTCTTCGAATCCTGCGTTTTGGTACCTGTTCTCCCGATCAGGACGTACCTGCGGATTGTCGTTGATGCTGTGGTACGGCGGGTCCTCCACGGGACCAACTGCAGCGTCAGCCGTGCTGGGATTGGCTTCCTGCTATTGAAAAACAGAACCTTGCTGGTATCTTGGATTTGCAGATGATTCCTAAGTTATGCTAAGGCCACAATACCAACTGGGGCCTGGCCGGGGACTTACTGCTTGAACAAAAATTCAGCAATCAATATCAAGACTATACACTAATAGTTGAATAGCAAATAACGTTATTTCTATCACAACCATTTAGTTTTCAAATCGACGTTTCGATGATCTTCTGTCATCTTTATCAGGGCAATTCTGACTGGTTTACTGTGCACTGACACAAATAGTTCTCTTTTTTTCACCATTTTTGTGTGACTATGTCAGGCATGGTGATAGAGGCAGTTCTGACTGGTTTTGACGGTGACAGGACATGCTGAACTCCTATTGGACTGTGAGTCATGGTGACAAAGAATGACGAGCTCCTATTGGTAGATCTCCTTTTGAAAATTGCCTCCTGGCTTAGAGGTGTACAGCCGCAAACCCTGCTATGAAAGGCTCCATAGAACACTAAACAGCCAGAGTATGAGTTTCTGTTGCACACAGGCTAGAAAATAGTTTACTCATTGTAATGAAAAGCTTATTAAGGAAATACCTGGAGTTGAGGACGCTCAGGGGAGTGACCAGCTTCATGCTCTGAAGAAAAAGGCCCTCTCTTCTTTAAGGCAATGGCGACTGCCGCTACTAGGCAGAGGATGACCAGCAACGATGGGATACAAACGGCCAAGCCGACCACTGTTGTCCGCGGCAACTGATTTGTCGATACGGTCTTCGTTGAAAATGTCACACAGTGGTCCAGTCCTGGTTTTCTAAGCTCATCCTTGCAAAGAACGGCAACACATGCTTGGTAGGGCGTATTGGGAAGAAGGTCGGGCTATGGCAAAGTAGCGTTCGTCGGAGTGAACCTTTTGCGTATCCGTCCACGACTTCTGCCCAAAGATTTGGTATTGAATGACGAATCCTGTCAGGTCCACACTTGCAGCTTTACCGGCGTGAAACCATGTGATTTCAGCACGAGAGTCCTGTACGTTTTGCACGGCGATGGCCTTTGGGGCGGAGCAGGTTCCAGGCTGTCTTCTTGTTGTAAGAGAGGGTGGAAGCTGTGTTGTTGCTGTCGGTGTTGTCACAAGGCGAGGAGATGTCACCACTTCAGTAGTAAGAGATGTTGGGCTGTGCAGAAGATGAAGTAGCGAGAGAGTGTATTTAGAGGGAGACAACAAAATTGATAGGGGACATGCATCATCACTCATGACAATTATATATAGTCTAGATTCCTTACATCTATATGCCATCTTTACAAAATATTGGCCTTCCGAGCTTTTATTGGTATCTTATTCTTTCATTGTCAACTATAAGGAAACTTGTAGGCTAAAGTAATCCCTCAATCCCTTATTCTTCCATTGTCAACTATAAGAAAACTTGTAGGCTGAAGTAATCCCTCAATCATGTGACAAACATTGCTCTTTTGATTTGAAGTTTTCTCTTTAGTGACAACAAATTAGAGATTACAAAATTACTCCCCTGTGACTTCGTGGTTTATACTTCATACGTTCCTGGCGACCCCATCCTTGAACCCAGTATATACCGGGTCACAACCCTGTCAATCAATTCAGAATCCAAATTCACATCAGTGGAACCCAAACATACAAACCTAGCATGAATTAACGCCACTCATAACAATACTTCCGTCCCGAAAGTAAGAAAGGACACCTTAAAGTACACTGATGAACACTTACCAGGTCTGCACAGTAGATTCCGTGGGTGGGGGGTCGGTTGTCGTTGGGCACGTCATCTGCAAGTCTTCCTCTCGAAGGTTGCTGAGAAGAACTGCCCTCCGCCGCGGATTGTAGATATAGCAAACCACTGGCTGTGACGATGTGCCATATCGCAGAGCATCCACAGCTGCATACATTGAAACTTTTATTGCATGTTCATTCCCCGGGGGGATAAATGCACAAATGTACAAAGTACAATGTACTAGAGAGTACTACAACAATAGCAATAAAGAAGGGCTAACATCAGGTCTAAAGGTATGCAACGCTAAAAAAGAAATACACATAGATATATAAAGTGGCATAGATCTAAGATCTAATGGCTTCTTCTCTCTTTTTAAAAAGAAAGAAAAGTTCAAGTCCAGAACAAGCTTATTGAAGTGCAAAAACAATAGGTTAGTACATTAAAAAATACCTGTTTATTCAGCCATTTCGCTAGATCAAGTATGTCACAATCGCAGGTAAGACTGTTCCCAAATTGCACAGTTTGGAGGCAGGGTAGGTGGCGAAACACTCCTGTAGGAAAAACATAAGCCCCCACCCCAAAAATAATCATGCAAGAACAGGCAACGCCAATAATGAATAAAGCATTGGAGAATGGTAGAAAGGTTTAGCAGTTAAATAAGTAATTTGAAAATGTACAACTTTTTAATATCATTTTTACATTTCACGTTAGATTTTCTGACTTCTGTCTCTCTCTCTCTCTCTCTCTCTCTCTCCTATATATATATATATATATATATATATATGTATATGTACATAGATAAATAAATATACATAATATTAGATAGATGAATAATTATGGATAGGTAGATAGATAGATAGATATAAAGACTAATGTCAATGAAAACTCATACGCGGTGACAAGCTCGTTGCTCTGGCGATATCCAGGTATTGTAGTGCCGTTAAATTGCCGAATACATCAGGGTGAAAGGAGTTACTACTGTAGGGGTTCCTGTAGTTGAAAACGCAATAATTTTTCTTTCCTCTGTCCATCGTCAAAGAAGTAATGAACAGAAATGTTAAGTAATTTGTAACTTAACAGTCTTAATAGTTTACCAACAAAGAACTATGACTCTAAAACTGGATGAGAAAATGTCTATCAATACCGTAGCAGTCCTTGGGCTGATAAATATTACAATTCCTAAAATACAGCTCATAATAATTCTAAAGATTCATTGCGATTAATAGTAGAATGTGCTTTCCCCAACCGTAAAGGTGTTATTATAAGTCTAATAATATAATTATTTAAAAAATCATAAACTAAAGATAGGTACATGTACCCCGGAAGTGAAAGCGTTCTTAAGGTTGGTAGATTGGCGAACGCAAACGCGTGGAAGCCTCGGAACTCATTTCCTCCTAGTCGCAATGTTTGCAAAGCCGTCAACCCTACAGAAACATCCGATTTTGTTACAATTATTAAAATCGTCTTCGTCAATGTAATATAACAATCCAATCAGATATGTGTGTGTGTTGGAAGGGAGGGGGGTTGTGACGATATCTAAACAATATCAAATTTGTACTTGTATTAAGTTTGCATAACATCCAAACACCCAACATCACCCAGCAATTCGGCACGGATAGTCCTTGTTATCAATGTACGTTGTAGATATGATACATGCTATGTGTACCTTGAAGTGTTGCTGCAGAAATATTCGTAAGAAGGTTGCGCCTTAGAGTAAAGTAGACAAGGTTGCCGAGGTTGGCGAATGAACCATCTTCCAGTCCTTCACTTGTAATTTCATTGACCTGTTGTAGACATGTTAACAGCTTTTTAAATGCCTAAGGCAAGTGTTCAGATGCTTAGCATTCAATTTAAATTTTGTTGGACAAACCTTATACAACCTTAGTGCGTAAAGTAAACGTTTAAATTGTTACTTTTCCTTTTATATATGCTGTAACATATATGTTAAGCCATATGAATGTAGTTTTTATATCGTTTGATGATTCATGCAGTGAGGACATGCTTACTGCATACTGAGGGCCGTTGTTCTGACAAACGTCTTTTGGCTATCTGCCAAAGAACAAGTCCCTGAGAACAAAGAACCCAGAGCGCTATGAAAAACAAGATGGGAAGCAAATAAACATTTCCTAATTTAAGAAAACGGAGAAATTGTTGATATATCTGTGTAATATTTAACCCTACTGTGAGAAGGGAATAGTTGATTCCTACGACTTACGGAAAGCCGCAAACGAGTCAGTTTTGTCAGCCTTGCGAAATCCTCCCTTCTCACAGCCGTGAGACGATTCCGAGAGAGGTGCAGCTCCTTAAGTCAGGACAGAACACGCCTGTGAACTAACTGTTATCCTACTTCTAATCTGTACTGCTTATCTTTAAATAATAATCATCATTCAAATACAACCATCTTACTTTGTGAGTTCCATGACTTGTAGCTAAATAGGGTTCTGTGACTTTGTGCAAAATTTTACACCTTATAATGATTCTAATGTGGTGAAACACAAGAGCCTGCGATGGCTTGAGCTTTTATACATTAAGTCAAGAATTTGATAACATTTATTATTGATACATTTAAGTTAGACTGGACCCGCTAACAGACGGGGAAGTGACTGTACAATTGAGAAGTAGCATAAACACAGAAAACAGTCCTGTACTCACCTCCAGTCCTGTACTGTCTGTTCTATCGTCAGGAGCCAGACCGAGAAAAGTGGATGCTGAGATGTCCTGTAGCGTGTTGTTGGACAGTGACAACGTGTGTAGTTTGACCAGATCACGAAACGCACAGTCTTCTACAGTGCTGATGTTGTTACTATCCAGATACAGTGCCGTTAGATTGAACAATCCAGAGAATGTTGTCTGTGTGATTTGGGAGATACCGTTAGATATGAGATCAAGAAACTCCAGCGCTGTGGAATCACTGAAGACCATATCTGGTAGATTCTGCATCTTATTGTCAGCCAAAACAAGACGCTTCAACGAGGACAGCCCCATAAATGTCTCGTTGGTCAGCCGAACGATCTGGTTGGAATGCAGGTAGAGGACACGTAACTTTTTGAGACCACTGAAGCTCCCATCTTCAATCGTTGAGATGTTATTGGACGATAAGTTGAGCTCCGTAAGCAATGGAATTCCAGTGAAAGTACCAATCGTTATAGACTCGAGTTTGTTTCTCTGTAAGTCCAGCATCTCCAAACTACTTGTAGCAGAACTTCCTCCAAACGCGTCTACCGTTTCAATGTTGTTACGGTTCAGATACAGTTTCACAAGTTTGTCAAGTCCATCAAAGGCATCCCTGACCACATGGATGATTTTATTCCCCTCAAGCCGAAGAACCTTCAGATTTGGCCGCAGGCGGAAGGGGGATCTTTCAAGCGTCGTGATCCAGTTATCTTCGAGGCTTAGTTCTAACAGGTTTGGAAGTCGAGGCCCCAAAGGCACAGTTATCATCCGGTTATCGTTCATCAGAAGAGTTTCTGTCGAGGATGGTATCAAGTCTTCTGGTGGGAAGCCTGGGTGGCCCCCGTGACTGCAATCCATCGTGGTGCCTTTGGATCGATTTAATTTGTTTATTATTTACCATCATAATAGACAAAATCTGAATTAATTATATAATTAATGATTGCATCGTTAAAAGTGTACACTATTGTGTTCATTTGTATCTGTATCTGTATAGCCGGTATAACCGCCTTTCGGCGTAACACACCAGCTTCGCAGGCACGCGGCGCGGCGGCAGCTGGCTATATTACACCGATCGACTTGTTACACCTAACCCTTGAACTTTTGTAAAGACTTAAGTCTAAAATATACATTTTAAACAAGAAATATGAAACCAATCCTGCCAGCCATTCGTAAGTTATCTTGTTGATTCACAAACGCACAAACACTGCCTAAACTATAACCTTGTGGCCAAGGTAATAAATAATTAAATGTACCTTCACAACGGCACCGCCTTGCACAGTACTGGGCAGACACCATACTGAAGACCACAGTGAGCACATACACACATAGCAACAGACAAGACGCCAACTTCCGCGCCATCATATTCAGCTGTTGCCAAAAAAATGAACAAAGTACCAGCATATTTACGTCGATGAAGGTTAGACATCCAGGTAATACGATACGCCAAAAAGCAGTTACTCAAGCAACTGAATATGATTTTGAAAACTTCAGACGTTTCAGCTAGTAGGTTGTGCTTATAAACCTGCATTTCCCCTCTGGTCTCTCAGTCACTGACGAAAGCTAGTGGATACTAGCTGAAACGTCTGTCGTTTTCAAAATCATATTCAGTTGCTTGAGTAACTGCTTTTTGGCGTATCAGCATATTTGTCAGTAAACCTTGCATCTAACAAGACCTAAGATTCAATCAACATAATTAGTTTGCTGTTTGTTTACCTTGCGCATTTGTCTTTTCCAGAGACTCAGAAAAATTATTTCCAAAGACTGTATTAAATTTACAAATCATAGGGCATGTTATGGCTTTGATTAGTGAATTGGGTACGTACGATATGTAAACAGAATACATAAGCAAAGCTTACTTGTACCCCTCCCCTTAAAAAATGGCAGTCTACCCTTCATAATCTTCAATCACATTGACCGTAAAAGATACAAGCAAACATTTATAACAACCTTTCTGACATTTAAAACTAGTTAACATTAATCAATGTATAAACGTCTCACCTACGATTTGGCGCTAGTGCTGTGTCTAATATGTGTATATTACCTTGGGTTGTACGCGACAGATCACATATGAAGTGGTCGCGTTTTGGACGCCGTTTCCTGAATTAGTGCAGTCAAGCTGAAGAAGTTGCCTGACAAGTTTTGATGACGAAGGCCTGGCTAATTGGCAGGTTCATTCCCCCCTTCCCACCTTCTCATGTAAATACTAATGGTGCATGTAGTTGCTGCTAGGGCTCTGGTATTTCTATTTAACGAAATATGTATGACTTGATGTATAAATGTGTTGAGATATAATCTGCAACGTCATATCTAATGAACGGTTGACAGTTGAATGTACGAGTTATTCTGCTAGATTACATGTAGTTGCTCCCTAGATAAGTACAGAAATTCCATATGACCCTTCCATGCATGTGATCGGATTCGCAGTAAATTTTATACACATCAAGCTAAAGGTTGTTACTTTGAAAATAAGAAAACACGGCTGAGGTATGTTGACGATAAAATCTGGTCTTTCCTCCTTGCAAAAGGTAATTTTTTTGTCCTTCAGGCCCCTGTGCAGACACTGAGGTCGAGTTGGCCCCGGGCTAGGTACAGGACAAGCGACGTGCTGCATTTTTCGTAAAATGTCATAGTTGAAGGCCCCTGAGACAACCAAAGCACGCCTGGACACGTATTAGGCCATGTTGATTTGATTATATGGATGACATCCTCTGGAAACCCCAAAACTGATGCGCGCGTGCGAATAAAAAAAAGTTTTGCAAAAAAAAAAGTTGCTTTCATTATGAAATCTGCGTGGTCATGAAGGTTGAAAAAATAACACAGAGTATGGTTTGGCGAATAATCTACTCTTTAAATTCATTTCTCTTTACATTTTCGTCTTTTTTGTTTGATTTTGGCATTTTGCGACATTGGTATCATTTTTCAATATTCTTTTTGCAACCTACGGTATATATTTGCTCATTTTGCAACTGTTTTGTACGATTTACAGTATGGTTGAAAACTTTTTTTTTTTGGAAACGGCCGAAAATTCATGCGCGCGCGGATGTCATCCATATAATCAAATCAACATGGCCTTACGTAAAGTCAAGGCTGAAACCGGTTTAAAAAGAAGGGCCTTCAGTTTTGACCTCGCGCATGCGCAGTTGGAACCTTTGGCACCCTTAATCATGATTTAGTTTCGTCAGACTAGGTGAGTCTTTTTTTTTCATTGATATATCTGTGTTGCTTAGGCCATGTTGATTTGATTATATGGATGACATCCGCGCGCGCATGAATTTTCGGCCGTTTCAAACAAAAAAAAAAGTTTCCAACCACACTCTAAATTGTACAAAACAGTTGCAAAATGAGCAAATATATACCAAAAGTTGCAAAAAAAAATTTGAAAACGATTCCAACGTCGTAGAATGCCAAAATCAAACAAAAAACTAAAATGCAAAGAAATGAATTTAAAGAGTAGATTATTTGCCATACCATACTCTGTGTCATTTGTTCGACCTTCATAACAACGTAGATTTCATGAAAGCAACTTTTTTTTTTCAAAACTTTTTTTTATTCGCTCGCTCGCATCAGTTTTGGGGTTCCCAGAGGATGTCATCCATATAATCAAATCAACATGGCCTTATTGATATTGCAATTGCTCGTATTGGCATTACACGCAGAACCATAAATTTCAATAGTATAAGATCTGTAACACTCTGACCGAGCTATACCTGTTAACCAGAAAAATGCTGTGCATGTTGTGTGTTATTCTGCAGTATCCGGCCTAGAGTGCAGTCTGAAGATTCCTTCATCTCAACATCTACTCACAAAAGCAGACTGTCACTCACACGGTAACCAGAGTTCCTTTTACAACTTCTAAAACTAGAAACAAGTTTTTGTAACGTACAGTAATATTGCCCTTAGTTCATAACTGCATGTAGTGT